ACCCTTGGCTTGTTGTTTGTCATGGAAAGCATCGGCAAAGACAAACGTTTTTTAGCATATCCAAAAGCCGTTATTATCCTACAACTATACCTGATATGTACAATAAATTCATATGCACTTCCAACTCTGGATGGTTAGTGTTGAAGGATAATGATTTTGGCGACTGTTTTCTACTGAATCTGGTTTCCATGGAGAGGATACAACTTCCGACATTGGAAAAGTTAGATTTTGAATATTGCGCTCTATGTTCTACCCCCAATGATCCTGAATGCCGCATTATGTTCCTTTATTTTGAGGAACGCTCCCTTATGGTTTGTAAGCCTGGTGATGATGAATATGTAAAGCATGAGCTGAATGTTGATGAAAGATTGTTTACAGCAGATGAAAGATTGTTTACAGCAACAACAATCAGAGGAAAAGTATATTTCCTGACATTACCAGGAAGGGCTTTGATAGTTGTTGATTTAACAGACCCAACTCTTCAGTTTAGACAAGTAATGGGGAAGGGACTACGGCATCCAGCAAGGCCTGAAAACGTAAGTTTTCAAAATTATCTCATTGAAAGTTGTGATGAGCTCTTGCTTGTTTACAAGATTTACTTGGGATTTGGTGACACAGAGACCCTCGACTNAATTATCTCATTGAAAGTTGTGATGAGCTCTTGCTTGTTTACAAGATTTACTTGGGATTTGGTGACACAGAGACCCTCGACTTTAAGGTTTTTCGAGCAGATTTTTCTACGATGGTATGGATTAAGTTGGAAAGCATAGGTGATCGCACAATTTTCCTTGATATACAGGAAGGCACGTCTTGTTGTGCAATCCAAGCTAAGACTAAGGCAAACTGCATCTACTTCACAAATAGGCATGATCGAAACGTGTATATGTTCAACATGGAAGACCAAAGCATTCTATCATCTTTGCCTTGTCCTCGTGTTGGTAGGCATGAGTCGCAACTTCGGTGGGTATGGTTGCCGACATGCTTGAACAATTTGTGACAGATTTTCTTCAGGTGTTTATGATTTTGTAAAACTCTTTAGAACTATGTGATGACTATGACCTTGCCTTGTTATAAGAGTTTAATTATGAGAGAAAATCAAAAACAAATAAGGTGCATTACTCTCGGCTCGCTCTGTGACAAACAAATTTATTTTCAAGATCCATCGGGAAGGATTCGTTGTAAAAATAAATTGCAACTTTGAAAAAAAATTAAAATAGAAAATATTTTTTTTTATACAACTTGAATACGGTAGCTCTCATTCTAGTGGAGACATAGGCTTGTAGTAAATAATTTAACGAGAAGGTACATGTGCCAATTTTTTTTATTCAAAGGTGATAAAATAGAGTGTGTTTGTTAATCTAAATTTAGCACTTAAAATGAATGTATTTGACTTTTATTAATTAAGTTCATTTGATAACTAAAATTTCAACTCTTAATATATTAAGTGCTATTTTAAAATAGGCTACAATATTAAGTAGGAGATCCCTTACTTAATTCTGAAAATTAAAAGCGCTAACTAAAATCATCTTTAATAATATTTATAATGTGACAATTATACTCCGAAATATTTTACAATACTATTACAACTCTAATTAGTATTTTCTCCAAAACCTTTAACCTATTTATCCTCTTTGTCAATCGTTTTCTTCAACAACAGGTCTTCTTCTTCTTTTTTTTCCTTCGCTCGTATGCTGCAAATATAAATTCACTGCACGCACACACTGGCACACGCACGCACAGACACACCCATCCACCCAAACCACCCACATGCAAGCACAAATTGCACACACACATACACATATTATTAATGAGATTTAATTTAATTTAATTTTTTTTTTAATTTGATTATTTATTTATTATTTATTTTTAATCAGATGTTATTGTTTAGTTATTGTGTTATTCAATTTATTATTGTTCACTTATTGTTATCCAATTATTTATTAGTTATTATTATTTTTTTGATCAAATGTTATTGTTCACTTATTGTGTAATTTAATTTGCTATTGTTCACTTATTATGTTTCGATTATTAATTTTTCGTTATTTTTTTTTATTTTTACTAAATGTTATTGTTCAGTTATTGTGTTATTCAATTATTATTGTTCACTTATTGTGATTTGATTATTTATTAGTTATTATTAATATTATAATTTTATCAGATATTATTGCTCACTTATTTTGTTATCTAGATGTTATTTTTATAGTCAAATGTTATTGTTCATTTATTGTGTTATTTAATTTGTTATTGTTCACTTATTATGATTCGATTATTTATTTCTTATTCTTTTTTTCTTTAATTAGATTTTATTGTTCAGTTATTCTATTATTCAATTTATTATTGTTCACTTATTATTATTCGATTATTTATTAATTATTTTTTTATCAGATGTTATTATTCACTTATTGTGTTATTTAGATATTATTTTTTGATTAGATGTTATTGTTCACTTGTTGTGTTATTCAATTTATTATTGTTCACTTATTGTGATCGATTATTTATTTGTTATTGTTCTATTTTTTTTTTGTTATTGGTTAAATGTAGACTAAAATATGATAATAGTGATTATGATTTATGTTATGAATTAAATTGATTTGATACATTGTCATTTGTTTTTAGATAAAATCACATTATATAAATATTTTAAAATTAAAGAGTGGACGGGTAAAATTAAAATCTAATTTATTTTCAGACGTCAGCTTTGTATAGTTATCAAACATTTTGGTTTAATTCAGTACTTAAATTTCAGTAGATATCAAACAGTCCACAAATTCAACATTCAGCTTTCAAACTTTAGCTTTCAGTTTTCAGATTTCAACTTTCAGTTTTAACAAACACAATCTTACTCTCAAACTATGGAGAATTAAGTTGGGCTCTCTCTTTAAATTTGTACAAATATAGAGTTTATTACAGCATCTTCAACCATTATTCTTTTTTAAACCCAAATTTAATTTTGAGTAAAAAAATTTCTCCAATGCTATGCACAAAACCATACCAAATTAAGGAGACTTAAATTTTTACCAAAATTAAGAGAGACTCAAATATTTATCCTTTTCACCAATTATATATATTTTTTCACCAATTATTAGATTTCATTCTCCTTTAAAGATTTAAATGGTATATTATATTCTACTTTAAATTTGGATTTGTCCTAATTTAAATTCGGGTTTGCCTTTCTTTAAATTTGATTTTCTCTATGGGAGAAATCTGCACCAAATTAAGTTTTTTTACCCTTTCTCTTTTAAGGGCATGTTTGGATCATGGATTAAAAGGGAATAACACCAATAGGATAGGAGAAAAAAGGAGGTCCATTTATTTTGCGTTTGGTTAGTAAAAAAGTGCACCAAAAATCTCATTCGGGTTTATCTCGCCCATTTTTAAAACTCTATTTTAATTTGCCTATGTTGGTCAAATGGAACCCAAGGAGGGGCTGAGATATTTTTTACAACGACTGAATAAGTGAAAAAAATGACATATTTGTACAAAACCATAAGCCATCAATCTTACTCTTACCCTCCAACAATGTCTCTTTTCATCCATGTATAGCTGGGTATTTATATTTATATTACTCTTCCATAGATGTGTTATGTGCTATCCAAACATTGAACAAGACTGGATATACTTATTTAAATCCTAACTGGCGGACAAATGGGTGGATTTGGATTGGACAAGAAAGAATATTTTTGAAAATGTCCAATCCGGTCCAACCCTACCAATCTAAACTGACACTAAATACAGAGTTAGGTCGACATAGAGAATCTATTAGAAATGCTCTAATAAGACCAAAATCCAATTACAATTTAATTGGTCTAGCATTTAATTGATTATAAAACACTCAAGTTCATTGGTTAACTAAATCGTATTTCCTAAACCAAAAATCAATTTAACTGCTAGGTGGTCTAGCCAAAAATAAAAGAGAAATTTGTAGGTCAGTACACATAATAGAACTTATTAGGCTAGAAGTCCATTGAGGAAAATATTTTGTGTAAAAATTCATTCCTGATTTGAAAGACTATTATAGCCCAAAGATTAAGAGTAATTGGTATAAAGCACCGGTTTAGAAACCAATCGAATACACACAACTCTTCCAAAGAAAACGGATGACGATAACACAAAACTTTTGAAATTCGAACGACAATCCCATAGATTTAGGGTATTTTTTATTTAGGAAAATTTGAGCGACAATCCCATTTGATGATGCACAAAGTTAATTATGAACGATCAAATCAGTCAAATGTGCGATGTAAAATAATTAATGAAGTAATTAATAATGAGAGACAGAGATTAAGTGGTCGGGTCTGGGTGACCTAACCACTGAAGGTGGCAACGGTGACCGCACAACTCTATAAATGAGAGAATACAAGGTAGTAGGAGAAAGAGCAAGAGCAAGAGTGCACTCAAGGTGTAGTCTCCCATCTCTATGTGAGAGGTTTACAATTTATAGGCACAGAGCCATAGTTGAAACGGTGACGTGAGTGTCAAAATACTAGCTTATCGGGGAGGCTAGCTATAATTGGAGATGAGCATTATCTTGAAGTAATGGTTATCTTAATGATTGCTCTCTTACAAGCCTTGAACTGGGCTGAAGTCATGAGCTAAGTCTGACCTGCTTTTTATAATTTGGGCTCAACCCATGAACTGAGCCCAGACCTGGTCTGGATTTGAGCTCGTCATTTACCCCCCATGCCACAAGTCCTAGTAATGATATGAGGGTTGAGGGCATGAGTGAACTCTTTCATTTGGGTAGACCAATGTATCTTATTCTACACAGTGGCTTCTTTTTTTCAACTTCCCTTTCCATTGCAATTTCAAAGCTTATCTTTCCGTTTGGTATCATCATACCCATGGTTCTAGAGAACTATAATTGCTCTCATTGAATGCGCAAAGTTTCGTTCCCTTACCGCAGAGATCTTTTTTTCCTTTTATAGCAACACAAGATTAGGGTTCCAAAGGGTTATACATATATACTTGAGGGTGAGCTTCCCCTAGTCACTCATTTTCCTTCAAAACCCATATTTGAGCTTGGGGGTGTCTTCCTTTTGTTCCTCAAGCAATAGGGAGAGGTTGACAAAGAGAAAAAACATAGATCCCAGAGGGAAAATGACACAAAGGGGTACCATGGGCGAAGCCGTGGGCAAGGCCACAGACGATGCCACGGCAAAGCCATGGGTGGCGCTATGGCCAGTGGAGAAGGCGATGCCATGGAGGAGTTGGGCATTGGAGTTGGGCGACGCCATGGGGGAGCTAGGCGCCAGAGGACAGCTGGCTAGCATTGGCAGAAGGCAGTAAGGCATCGGCTTGCTGGGCAGCATGGGTAGACTCCTAGAAGGCTGCGCTTTGACAAGGGGAGAGAGAGCGACACCTTTCGCCCAGGTAAGGCAACTCTGTTCACCCTTTCATTTTTTAGTTATTTTGGTATCCTTTTCTGATAGTGGCTCTGACTTTGACAGGCACTCAATCCACTGCGGGTACGATGATGGATCCTGCACAAGCTTCACAGCGAGGCAAGGGAGCTACTGATAATGACAGCTCGAAAGTAACCTCCATTTTTAGCTCTATCGATAGTGACGATGACATCACTAGGATCATATCTTCGGTCCATATCTCACCTTCTGTTTTATGCCGCCAAGTCAAGAAGGATGAGCCGACATGTTATGATTCCTCTAAGAAGATAGTTTTCTATGAGGAAGTCTTAAGAGGCAGAATTAAAGTTTCCCATATCCAGATTCATTTGCCAAGTTCAAGGTTACTTTTCACTTGCACCATGGAGGTTGACTTCGAATGGCTGGAGGGTTTTTCTGGCTTTCTCTTCACTGTGGCGACTGGTTCATTGTGAGGGTGTTTCTCCCCCTTTTGAGGAGTTCTTGACTTCGTATGCGCTTTTGGGACCTTTTGTTTTATGAAAGATTGATTCTTTTTAAAAATAAATAGCAACTTTGAAAAAAAAATTAAAATAGAGAGTAATTTTTTTTATATACAACTTGAATACGATGTCTCTCATTCTAATGGAGACATAGGCTTGTAGTAAATAATTTAATTAGAAGGTACATGTGCCAATTTTTTTTTATTCAGCGGTGATAAAATAGAGTGTGTTTGTTAACCCAAATTTAGTAATTAAAATAAATGTATTTGACAATTATTAATTAATTTAGTTTGATAACTAAAATTTTAACTCTCTTAATATGTTAAGTGCTCCTTTAAAATAGGAAAAATGTTTTAACAGAAAAATGTTACCAACAGAAAAATGTTTTAACAGAATAAATTAGGACCAATATTAAAACTATTAACCCTTTACATTAGGGCAGGTCATGAGCATTCACGGTCNCCTGCTTTTTATAATTTGGGCTCAACCCATGAACTGAGCCCAGACCTGGTCTGGATTTGAGCTCGTCATTTACCCCCCATGCCACAAGTCCTAGTAATGATATGAGGGTTGAGGGCATGAGTGAACTCTTTCATTTGGGTAGACCAATGTATCTTATTCTACACAGTGGCTTCTTTTTTTCAACTTCCCTTTCCATTGCAATTTCAAAGCTTATCTTTCCGTTTGGTATCATCANGTAGACCAATGTATCTTATTCTACACAGTGGCTTCTTTTTTTCAACTTCCCTTTCCATTGCAATTTCAAAGCTTATCTTTCCGTTTGGTATCATCATACCCATGGTTCTAGAGAACTATAATTGCTCTCATTGAATGCGCAAAGTTTCGTTCCCTTACCGCAGAGATCTTTTTTTCCTTTTATAGCAACACAAGATTAGGGTTCCAAAGGGTTATACATATATACTTGAGGGTGAGCTTCCCCTAGTCACTCATTTTCCTTCAAAACCCATATTTGAGCTTGGGGGTGTCTTCCTTTTGTTCCTCAAGCAATAGGGAGAGGTTGACAAAGAGAAAAAACATAGATCCCAGAGGGAAAATGACACAAAGGGGTACCATGGGCGAAGCCGTGGGCAAGGCCACAGACGATGCCACGGCAAAGCCATGGGTGGCGCTATGGCCAGTGGAGAAGGCGATGCCATGGAGGAGTTGGGCATTGGAGTTGGGCGACGCCATGGGGGAGCTAGGCGCCAGAGGACAGCTGGCTAGCATTGGCAGAAGGCAGTAAGGCATCGGCTTGCTGGGCAGCATGGGTAGACTCCTAGAAGGCTGCGCTTTGACAAGGGGAGAGAGAGCGACACCTTTCGCCCAGGTAAGGCAACTCTGTTCACCCTTTCATTTTTTAGTTATTTTGGTATCCTTTTCTGATAGTGGCTCTGACTTTGACAGGCACTCAATCCACTGCGGGTACGATGATGGATCCTGCACAAGCTTCACAGCGAGGCAAGGGAGCTACTGATAATGACAGCTCGAAAGTAACCTCCATTTTTAGCTCCATCGATAGTGACGATGACATCACTAGGATCATATCTTCGGTCCATATCTCACCTTCTGTTTTATGCCGCCAAGTCAAGAAGGATGAGCCGACATGTTATGATTCCTCTAAGAAGATAGTTTTCTATGAGGAAGTCTTAAGAGGCAGAATTAAAGTTTCCCATATCCAGATTCATTTGCCAAGTTCAAGGTTACTTTTCACTTGCACCATGGAGGTTGACTTCGAATGGCTGGAGGGTTTTTCTGGCTTTCTCTTCACTGTGGCGACTGGTTCATTGTGAGGGTGTTTCTCCCCCTTTTGAGGAGTTCTTGACTTCGTATGCGCTTTTGGGACCTTTTGTTTTATGAAAGATTGATTCTTTTTAAAAATAAATAGCAACTTTGAAAAAAAAATTAAAATAGAGAGTAATTTTTTTTATATACAACTTGAATACGATGTCTCTCATTCTAATGGAGACATAGGCTTGTAGTAAATAATTTAATTAGAAGGTACATGTGCCAATTTTTTTTTATTCAGCGGTGATAAAATAGAGTGTGTTTGTTAACCCAAATTTAGTAATTAAAATAAATGTATTTGACAATTATTAATTAATTTAGTTTGATAACTAAAATTTTAACTCTCTTAATATGTTAAGTGCTCCTTTAAAATAGGAAAAATGTTTTAACAGAAAAATGTTACCAACAGAAAAATGTTTTAACAGAATAAATTAGGACCAATATTAAAACTATTAACCCTTTACATTAGGGCAGGTCATGAGCATTCACGGTCGATCGGCTTTCATATAAACCCAACCAACCTGGCATACGATTGATCGGATCATCGATACTTACCAAACCCTAATTCGAACCGTTCTATTCTCACCCAATCAATCTTCCATATTCGAAGATCTCAAAGCCTAACCCTGTCAAAGAACTCGTTGAGGAGACGAGGAATTGGGTGGATGATTTTCGGTGGTTCAGATCTGTGCAGTCTCTGAACTGGTTGATTTTACCGGAATTTGACAAGTGTAAAAGAGGTAATTTTGTTTGCTGCATTTGGTTTTTTATTGGAGTCAACTGTCATATTGAAGTATCCATAATTCAATTTAAATCCTTTTTGATAGTCGTTGCATTTGTGTTCATCTTTTCTTGATTTTTGTTTTTATTTCTTTAGGCTGTGTTAAATCTTCTATGAGATTATTTGACTGATATATAGAATAATTTTTTAAAGTATGAACTGGAACAATCTACTACTCAATTGAGACCAATTCTTTGAAAATTTGAAAAAAGGATCGAGGAATGTAGATAGGAATGGACTCGATTATTTCGGATTTCATATGGTTTATTATTTTTAGTTTCTCAATGAAGGCTAAGTTTTTCCCCTAAATGGCAGTATTGTATGCATATTTTCCTAGATTGGTTAATAGAGAATGAGTCCTAATATAATATAGGTTCTTGACTCGCAGCTTATCAATAAGATGGTACAACTAAGTTGATTTAGTATTAGATTATTAGACAGGAATTAAATAAGACATATTAAAATTAACTACTACTCCACCACACATGCCATTCCGGACACATAATATAGGCTAGGATACTAGAAAAAATAATTTTATAAATTGTGATAACCTTTCTTATATGAATTGTAGGTAAATTATATGATGTGGATTTTGATTATTAGTATAATGTACCCTCCATCTTTAGTAGGCTTTATCCTTTTCTTTTTCCCTCTTGATAATTTTTATTGATGATTTATGTTGCAGAAATGAGTACCCGTGGAGTGTTTGTGTGTCGTACATGCGGTTATGGCTCCGCAAAGAACTTGGAAGAGTTTTCAACACATGTACAAGCCTGTAAAGCTAAGGTAATAAGTTAACCTACTTTTAACTAATTAAAACGTTAACTTCAAATTGATGTAAATGATCAGGCGAACAAGAAGAAGAAGAAGGCGGAGGAGGAGGCAGCGGCTGCAGAGGCAGCAGCGGCAGCTGCGGCAAGTGCTGCAACAAAGAAACTTANGGCAGCGGCTGCAGAGGCAGCAGCGGCAGCTGCGGCAAGTGCTGCAACAAAGAAACTTAAACGGAAATAAAGTGTGCCACAAATAGAGAGAACCAAAAAAAAACATGGCAGGTAAATTTTAGTTTCCATAGTACAAATGAAATTAGTTTTTACATAACATATGTGCCTTCTTAATTGACTTGTTCATTTTTTCATCTGCAGGTCTCTTTTTTCCTTGGCAAGTCCACAGTAGCTAGCTCAAAAGGCGCACGTACATAATATTAGATGAATAGACTAAATACAAATTAACTACAACTCAGTCAAAATACAAAGTACTTTTATTGTTACTTCACTGTTTTTTGATTCAAATTACATACATATTGCTACATACTGCTTTTGATAATGTCAAAGGAATTTTTGGAGAAGATGGATATATACCTAGTACAAGGGAAGAAGTGTGAAAAAGGAGTATCCGTGAACTTAAAAATGTACGTGATAAAAAAAAAAACTTAAAGATTTATAATCTCAGAAATATCATAATGGCAGGTTTTAGGAATAGAGGGGAGGGGAAATCTAGTATTATAGGAAGATTGTGACTTGGAATATTAGGGGTTTGGGATAAGGAGGAAGTGAAGTTCATAAAAGAATTGTTGGTTAGAATTTGCCTTAATGGTGATATAGCAAGAAACTAAGAAAGGGGTTGTTGATAGAAGATTAGTTAGAAGTGTGTAGGCCTCTAGGTTCATTAATTGGACTTTTTTTTTTCGGCTTGAGGGAGATTAAGAAATATTAACTGTGTGGGATAAAAGTACTGTTGTTGTGGAAGAGTCAATTGAAGCAGAATTTACAATTTCTGTGAAAATAAAACCCGAGAGGTTGACTGGCGGTTAACATGGGTGTATGGGCCGAATTGGCCGAGGGAGGGGTTCCATCTGTGGGAAGAACTAGCTGAGTTATTTGGACTATTGATAAGAGTGGTTTTTCCAAGGAAGAATTAGCAGCTGTGTTTGATTTGTGTAATCCTAGGTGGTGTTATAATATAACATATGTGACTGAACATTGAATGATGGAAGGATCACAAGGAGTATGAACAATTTTAATGATTTCATTGGGAATACTAAACAAAAAGATCCACATTTGAGCAATGTATCACTTTGCTATAATGAAAACACCATTTGTCACTCTAGATTCAAAAGTCGTTAGCTGAGGACCAACACACTTCCAATTTGAAATTATTTAGTTAGAACACCATTTGTTGAAAACTAGTTTTAAAATGTTGTGGCCAGCAGGTGGTCTGCAAGAATAGGAAGGTTTTAAGTTCATGAAAATGTAAGGGTAGATCAAGCATAAATTGAAAGAATGGGATATAGAAGTTTCATGAGACAAAAACACTTAAAAGAGCCAGCTTACTTTCTAGTCAAATAAAGGAAGCAGACAAGATGGAGGTTTAAATGAGCCATTCGGAAAGGAAATGAGTGAGCTGAGAAATAAGTTCTAAGAAGTGGTCTGCAAAGAAAAAATATCATGGAGATGGAAGGGCAAAGTTGGATTAAAGAATGGTAATATGGTTCTAGATTGTTTCATAGTGTGGCCCATGGAAGAAAGCATAATTAGAGAGAAAAGAGGTTTTAATTTTAGAGGACAAAGTCCGACTCAGAGGGAAATCTAGTTTTTTGCAAAGCCCAATGGTGTGCAAGGTTGCAAGAGACCGGGGTTAGGAGGTTTAGATTGGTGCCCTATCAGTAAGTGTAAAGTTAGGTGGCTGGAAAGGAGATTGAAGAAGGAGAGAAAAAAGCAGAGCAATATTTTGGATGTTGTGAGGACAAATCTCCCGTCTCTAATGGATTTTCTATGACAGTATTTCAAGATTGTTGAGAAACTATAAGGGGAAATTTGATTAATTCAGTGGAATCTATTCAAAGTAGGTTGGTCAATATTAATACAAATGCTACTTCTTGATTTGCTTAATTCTGAAGAAGTTTACGAATTGTTAAGGTATAGGATTTCCAAACTATTGTTTGGTTTCTAGCTGGTACAAGATAAAAGCAAAAGGTTTATCAATTACATTAAACGGAGTCTAGGCGGCAGGACCGAGTAATTTCAAGGAGCTGTTCTGAAAGGAGGCAAAATTTTGATAATAGTTTTGGTGGCAAATGAAATTGTGAAGTGGTGGCAAAAAGGCTAGGAGGGGATTATCCTTAAAATTTGATTTTGACAAAAGATATCTAACCTTGTGGATTGGAGGTTTTCAGATTTTTGAGTTAGAAAACAAAGGTTACGGGGTTGTAAATGAAGGAGGTGGATTAGAGGATGTGTAGGCTGGGAGGCCGACAGAAAGATTTAAATGCATCTAGGAGACTTAGGTAGAAAAATTCCATTGTCGCCTTCTCTTTTCCCAGTGGTAGTGGCCACACCCCTGCTAGTGGCCACGTTAAGTAGATTAATGTTTAGTGCAAATGATTGTAACTTAATTGAAGGTTTCCTATTGGGAAGAAAAAATTCAAGAGTCCCACTAGCAGTTCGCCGATGGTACAAAAAATATCTGGAAATGAATAAATATTAAATATCAGGATTGAAGGTGAGCTTGTCAGGAGCCTAATTGTAGGAAAAAATGCTCAAGGGGAAAAGTTGGTCAGTTTAGCAAGTATTATAGGTTTCATGATGGGGCTTCCACTATGGGGGGGGATCCATTGTATGACACTTTTTGAGATTTAGAAGGGAAAAGGCGTAAATGAGACTTGGAATGATGAAAGAAGACCTTTTTTTTATCAAAAGAAGAGAGGATCAATTTAGGCTTCTTTATTTTTTATTTTTTAAATCTTGGCAAGTATTCATATTTGCTATTCATCTCTTTCTAAGATAGCTTGAAAGGTAGCAAAATGGTAGAGAATATGATAGGGGAACGATAATGGGAAGGAGTGAGGAAGATAGGAAAGATCATTTGATTAGTTGGGATGTAGGTAGATTAAAGATGAACACGAGTTGGTTGTGGGGAATTTGCTCAACAACGCATTGTTGGGCAAGTAGCTATGGAAGTTTCCATTCAAAGAGTATTCTCCTCATGTCAAGTCGTTATAAAGAGTAAATATGAGCTTCATTCCAATAGATTGAGATTCTGATATGTGGATAGGAGTACTTCCTGGTGTTATTAGAAACCAATTTTTTAGGGTACTACTTGCTTCCTTAAGAATACTAAGGTAAAGTGTGGGGACTGGCAGAAAAATTCATCTCTTTATAAGTAGTAAAATGGTAGAGAATAATATAGGGGAGGAGTGACAAAGATTGGAAAGATCCTTTGATTAGTTGGCATGTAGGTAGGTTAAAGATGAACACGAGTTGGTTGTGGGGAATTTGCTAGACAGTGCATTTTGGGCAGTTAGCTGTGGAAGTTTCCGTTGAAAGAGTACTCCACGTGGCATGTCGTTATAAAGAGTAAATATGAGCTTCAATCAAATGGATTGAGACTCTGATATGTATGGTGGATAGGAGTTCTTCTTGGTGTTATTAGAATTTAATTTTTGAGGGTACTACTTGCTTTTCTATGAATACTAAGATAACTTTGGGGACTGACTGGCAGAAAAATTCTCTTTTGAGCAAATATTAGAGATGGGGGGTTATCTTTTGCCATAGTGTTATCGATGGTGGATGCCATTAGTTCAGGCCTCAGAGATGGTCATTGAAATAATAATAGTCCATACAACAAATTCCGAAAAGAAGCCAATATTGAGGGGAAAATGGACAGAAGAAAACCTTAGACTACATTGTATAGGAAGGATAGGATAATTACAATTCGGAAAAATAAAGCAATCAATTACTTATATGCGTAGTTAGAGAGCTAGGACAAATGGAAACTTAGGCAATGTAAGCAAGACATGTATTAATTAAAGATTTAAAGGTTGGAAAAATATCGCAAAATGCAGTTTATCCCCCATCAAGATATAGATGTAACAAAAACCCATGAGAACCACACATGTTAAAAACTAAATAACATCAAACATTTAGTCAAATCAAATTAAAATGAGTTTATCAATTTAAAATAAGAAAAAGGAAGAATTTCATTCAATTATTGTTATCTCAAACAAACTCATGATGACAACTTGATAAACGTAGAGAGAGAAAGAAAACTGGTGGGAGGAAAACGTACAGCACCTTCAAGTTCATCCTGCCGTTTCTTGCTCTAACATTCTTCCTGCATACAACCATTTCTAGGCGTTCCCAATATCTACAACTTGGAAACCTTGTCATTGGTGCAATCTTTCTCAGGGTTTTCCAAATTTACTTTTTAGAGAGTGGATGGATCCAGACTGGATCTGCTTGCCTAGGACTCTGGATGAAGAAACAAAACAGATCCACAACAAAGAAAGTCTTTTTTGCATAACAAAAATATCAATACCGCAGAGAAGAATTAAAAAGAACTTTAATTCTCATGCACGAAAAACACAGATCTTGATGGATCGGGTCTAGAAAAAATTGGATCTTTTTTCGGGTAAGTGAAAGGTTGAATCTTTAAGCATAATGATGACTAACAAAACTGGATTGGGCATCGAAAATAATCAATCAATCAACATGTATGTGATAAGAAGATCAGAACAACTGAAAAACATAATGATTCTTTATGGTTTGTTTGACCGTCAGTTTATACATATTTTTTACACTAAAAATCTGGAAAAATTAAACTATAATCTTTTCAAATCAAATCAGATCCGCTAAAATCTATATGAAAAACAAACCTTAAAAATCAGATCAATTAAAAACTAAATGGGTAAGCAAAAATAACAAACTTTGCAATACATCGGGAATAAAAAAAAAAGTATTCTTCTTCTGCTGCTGCGAACGAAAGCATACCAATTTGTTTGGACATACCACAGATCTGCTAGTTTGAGAGGGAGGACGAGACCGATTAAAAAAAAAAAAAAGGCAGACAGAAAAATCACAGAATTTGAGAGAGAAAGGGGGGGGTGCTTCAAGGAGGATCTGGAGGGATGAGAGAGAGAGATTATGCTAACGGAAGGCAGAGGCCAAGGCACCGTGAGAGGGCCGGGGTGGGAGGAATGACAGATAGAGAAAGAAGCAAGGATAATAAAGAGTCGT